CTATTTTCTATAAATGCTGTAATTTACTTGCTCGAAAAAGCTAGAGTCTCTTGTTTCGTCTACTAAAATTTAAATCCGTGTTACTTGTCATTGAATTAAGCCTCATCGTGTTACTGTAACTGCTCCTAAAGTGCTTCAAAATTTCTTAATCATCTATATTTTTTTCCTGGAACATTAGTTCTTTGGAATTCGCTTACCTCATCTTGTTTTCCCGATTTATATATTTTGCAATTCTTTAGGTTGTATGTTAATCGTTTTTTTGCTTTTTAAACCTCATCTTTTTTTTTCAGTATTTTCCGACTCAAATACTAATTGCTTGCTGCCATGTTGGAAGTGAAGATGTTTAAAATACTTTTATTAAACTATAATGGATTCGAGGATTTATTTATTTGTAAAAAATTAAGTTTACGCAAAAGTAGAACAAACTGTTTTAAAAGCGTCTAATAAAAAAAAAAAAAAAAAAAAAAAAATTAAAGAAGTTAAATTAAAGAAAAAAAACTTGAGTAAAATAAAATATTATTTAGCTAAAATTTTCAGGATATGTGTTTATTTACTACTGAGGCTCTATTTTTTTTCCTACAATTTCTAAAACGATTAGATTTTGCTTTTAAAGTATAAAATAAGGTGTAAAGTATATATTTTGTCAGTTAATTTGATATAAAATGACTTTCCATTAAAAACTCGTTGGTCGAATGGTACCATTCGACCAACGAGTTTGGAAAGTTTTTCTTAGGTGGTACACCAGGAAAAAATAAAGTTGTTCAATACTACATCTATATTTCCGTTTGATAAAAAAATGTTTAATATACTATTATAAATATTTTTATTTAAAAATATCTTTAAAAATCAATTATACTAAAAAATAATAAAATAGAGTGCTTTTCATAATATTTTTCTCTAGGTAAAGGTTTATTGTTTGAAATACACCATGGTGTATTTCAATAAACAACACACTATAAACCTTTTTGAGGTTTATAAAATTGACATATATTAATCAATACTTCAACGTTTATATAACGTTTAGTAAATGTATTAAAAAGTATGAAATATTGATTTCGATCAAGCGTCTGTTTTGGGTCAGCAGTTTGCCGTTAAACATTGTACCCACATTTCTACCAGATTAAAATAAATATTGCCCAATTATATACAACTCTGTGTTTACTGAAGTTTAACAAATTTGACAAAATTTTATGTAGCATTTTATCAATAAGATATATATATATATATATATATATATATATATATATATATATATATATATATATATATATATATATATATATATATTTATATATATATATATATATAAATATATATATATATACAGTTCAGGAATCTGGAGTCAAAGCATGCTATGACATGAGCAATAACCTGACAGGTGACAGCACACAGGCAGAATTTCGTTGACACGTGCCATTTTTTAGCGGACAAAACAAGTGCCACTTTTTTAGTTTTGTTTCATTTTTATAAGCCTGGTCCGTTTCTAAGTCACGGAAGTTTTTTAATATATAAAGAAACTTTCAAGAAGTTTCCAGAAGTTTCCAGAAGCATGCAAAAGCTTCCAAAAGTTTCCAGAAGAAGCATCTGAAAGCATCCAGAATTATTCAGAAACATTCAGAAGCATTCATACGCATCCAGAGGCTTCCAGCCTCTGGATGCGTATGAATGCATCGAAAAGAAGCATATAGAATCTTCCAGAACAGGTTCTCACAGGTTCATTTTACTATATAAGAGATATGTAAACCGACATGTAATTCAGTCAGAATATGGAAGTCAATCAGTCAGTATTATCAAGACAGTTTATCGAAGTGAGTTTTATCAAAGTATTTTATTGAAGAACATCAATGCAAGAAGTAAAATACAACAAGTGTTTCATTACATCAATAAAGTCGACATCCAACCAAGACATTGTGTTCTACAGAGCATTATTAAATCATCACAAGGTAAATGTAACACGGTAAGCCTTGAGAAGTGTGATTATTTTTTTTTTAATTATTTTTATGACCTCAAGTGCAAAAAATGGCTCCCGATAGTCTTGGATTGGAACTAAGAAAAAAAATTATTGCGAATTAATGCGATTACGTAGTTGGAATGTCACAAAAAAGTATTTGTGATAAATATCGCGTGAAAAAATGGACCGTATCAAGACTATGTTCAAAATATCGTTCTACGGGAAAGTTGGCAGCAGATACCAAAGCTGGAAGACCGCGTTCCACCACTTCTAGAGAGTATTCTATAATCGTCAGATCCGTCAAGAAGGATCCCTGGATATCATCAGTCGAGATACAAAAGCAACTGGAACCGCCTATATTGGACTGAACAATGAGACGACGTGCTGTTGAAACCGAATTGTTTTCTCAAAGCCCTGCAAAGAAACCGATGGTTTCACTAAAGAACCAGAAAAAAAAATTCCTGTTTGCTACATCTCATATTGACTGGAATGTGCAGAAATGGCAAACTGTCCTGTTCAGTGATGAATCGAAGTTCAACATCATTGGGAGCAATGACATTTGCCGTGTACGTCGACCGGCCGGAAATGCCTCAATTTACGTTACTGCCATTAGACCGTGAAGCATGGTGGAGGCAATGTAACGGTCTGGGGATGTTTTTCTGCTAAAGGTCTAGGTCCAATACAAGAAATCGATGGAATAATGGACCGTTTCATGTATAAAGATATCCTGAGTAATGTAATGTTACCTCATGCTGAATGAAATATGCCAATAAAATAGGTTTTTCAGCAAGACAACAATTCGAAACACACTGCAAAAGTAGTCAAGAAGTGGTATCAAGATAACTACCTATCGGTGATGGATTGGCCGCCTCAATCTCCGGATCTCAATCCTATCGAGAACCTGTGGGAGATCGTCAACCGCAGAATTAATCGAAAGGTGTTCGTAATTAGGATCAATTGTTTGAACAAATCCAAAGGCCTGGGCAGCGATGCTACAAAGTTTCATTGATCACCTGATCAAATCTATGCTTCGAAGATCCAAAGTTCTGATCGAAAACAAAAGATTCGTTTTAAAATATTGATAGCGAAATACAGCTCGGTCAACATTTTGTGGAGTTGCACTAGTTTTATTTAGAAGGAAATCAATTTTTTATTACTTTTGATTATTTTATTAATTTTCGTGGACAAATACTGAAATTTGTGATGAATAAAACTTGAAGAACGTTGTCTCTAAACATTTACATAGTTATTTCTGTAAATTGAAAAAATGCAGCACTTTTATATAAAGAAACTAAATTAGCATTATTTGGTTGCACTTGATTTGTCCAATACTGTCCTATATATATATATATATATATATATATATATATATATATATATATATATATATATATATATATATATATATACATATATATATATATATATATATATATATATATATATATATATATATATATATATATATATATATATATATATATATATATATATATATATATATATATATGTACTATATAATTTTTGTAGGCAATGAATTGTAGACAGTTTTACAGATTGTTATATATAATTAACTTTAAATGATAGTATAAACTTTTTTTTAAACTGTTTTTACCTGCCCAATACCACGGCTGCTTTGTCTATAAAAAGTTTTAACAATGCTTTCTCAACTCTATAACACTATTGAAAAAACCTGGATAAAGACCCTGACCCTAATTCTAACCTCCTGACTAACAAGTTAAGCTCAACCACGAAAGTGGTACGGACTCAATTCATTACTTCCGTCATATTCTAGCAAACCACTACTGCATTAACTTAAACAAAACAAATAGAAATGGTAGTTCTTTGGGACCTATATTATTTTTAATATTTATGTTTGATTTAAATGTTTTGATATTTTATTTCGGTTTTAGTGATAAGAGAGAAAAAAAAGGAGTAATTTGCAAGAAACATTTGAGACATCATAAAATTAGTAAATTTGTTTTCAGATTCAATTTTTTAGGAAAAGTTTTATTCAATAATTAAAATTTATTAATCAAAAGAGTTAACTGTTATGAACATGATAGAAACAGTCTTGTTGCCAAATATAACTTGACTGACAGTGTTACCTGATGTAACACTTTTACAGTTTATTTTATTACAAAAAAGTTGATAAAAACAGTTTCAATAGTTTTAAAACTGACTCTTGTTGGAAAAGTTAAATATGAAAAAAATTATCCAGAGCCTATTCTGTTGATAAAAACTTGTTTAGTAACTAGCAATAACTAACTTAGTCTTAAATCACCTATAAGTATTGTATTTTATTGATAAGCGGTCATGCAAGAATAAAGATATTACAACTTTTAATAGTATTTATAATAGATTGACTAAATTAAGCTCATACACTGTACTAAAAAACTCTGGCTTTTTTTTTTTACATACATTATAAAGAAATTCAAATGTAACTTATTCAATTTTAATGATCTATTTCAAAACTAAAAAAGAAACTAAATATTACTATTTACTTTGTGTGAAGTTTATTACATTTTTCATGTTACACAAGAAATAAATATTTAATGTCTTAAGTTCTTGAAATAAAAGTACTCTTTTTTCCAAACAACGAATAAATTTATCTTCAAAAAAATTGTTAATAAACTGGCGTTTTATTTACCATAAATAAGTAATATTATTAAGTTAAGATATTGCTTTTTACAGAGTAGGCTTTATAAAATAAAAGTTTCGTGTATTGAAGTTATCTACCGAATCCAGACTTAAAACTATAAACTTTTTTATTTTTATGTAAAACTTATTACTTTGAACAAGTTGTTAAAATTTGCTTTGTTTATTTTAAATATAACCTTCAAATTATAAAGAGAGCTTAGTAAAAAATATTAGATTTTATAATAAAAAATACTTCTTATTTTTTTATTAAATATCAGGTATATATTTAATTAAGTAAAAAAATGTTGTTACTTTCATATAGATACTATATACTTTAGTTTCTTTTCTATACGTTTCTTCTTTTCTTTCTTTTCTATAACATTAATAAGTAATAAAAAGTAGCTCTTACCCAAAGTGACATTTGTTATTTCTAAATTACGAATGAATCCAGAAATTGTAGGAAACCATGGAGTTCTACCAATGTAAACTTTCATATTTTGAAATTGTACTGCTTTAGAGTTCGTTTTATTATAAACTATATCATTGTTTATCTTTACTAGGTAAAAGTAAGTATTTTGAACAAACAGCTGTTGAAATGTAAAGGTACTCCACGCATTTATTGCAAGTGGATTTCCAGGAAAACAAGAACCTACGCCAGGAACGTTATTTAATGCTGCGCAAATTAAAGGAGTTTGTTTTCCGTCATTTTTTATCCAAACGCCCGGTGACCTGTCACCATAGGCATTGAGAGAACCTCCAATAGTTAAGTGGATAATGGATGGCCATGTTGATGGAAAAGAACTTGGTTTTAATTCAAAGTATACAGTGTACTCTTTTCCAATATTTGATAAGATTGCAACTAGATTCAATTTTGTTGTGTCTACTTCTTCATTAACATAAAGACCTATTAAAAAATGAAAATTTTATAATAAACCAGTTTTACTTTCATTTTTTAAACAAAATATAGTGCTAAGCAACAGAAAGATAGCGCTAAACAACAAAAAGATAGTGCTAAACAACAGACAAAATTATAAAAGTTTTCAACTGGAAGCGTATAAACATTTTTGGAATATTTTTCATTATTGTTACTTTTTCGAATGAATTTCTAGCAAAACTTAAATTAAATTTTTTTTTTAATGCGTATTGTTTTTTCAATCTTTTTCTTCACTTTGAAAGTTACAGGTAACTAAACATCTAAAAAATTTACTTTTTGCAACTACCTGTGTTTAAGTTATAAACTTAAGTTAAAAATTAAGTTATAAAATAATAAATAATAAAATAATAAAAATACGAAAGTTTTTATAACTTAATAAAATTAAGTTATAAAAACTTTCGTATTTTTCAATCTTTCATAATTTTTCTTATTCACATTTTTTTGCGCAGTTCAAAGTACTTTTCAATTATACAAAGATTCAAATTGTAAAATCATTCATCTCCGTGACCTAACAGATTTAAGAAGTTAATATTTTTAAGCAACTAAATTGACATAAAATACTGCAGTTGTTAAGAGTATTATTGTAAAGGAGAATAAGCGGAAAAGTACGAACTACTTAAAATGAATCTAATCCTAAATATAATTTGTTAAAAAAAAGATTTTTTTAATCCTCTTTTTCTATATACAATTTTATTAATATTTCAAGGAAATTTAAAGTAAATTTTAATGTCTAACTATTGTTTTTCAATTTTTGCAAATATAAATAATTTTCATTTATCTAAGCAATTACATTTGATATAATTGTTGAAACGTTCCATTTTTTATAACTATAATTATCAATCCCACCGTATTGTTCATTTTGCTTTATTCAATTTATTGTTCATTTTCTTGATTCAATTTATTGTACAATATTTTTGTACAATAGCTAGTTAGTCCAACATTTTTAAATTGCAAACTGAATTTCGAAAAAATATTTATGGAAAAATATAAGCATTTAATAAATATGCGTATAAGGTTTAATATCCCCAAAATTTTAAATTTACTAACTACAGTGAGACATTACATCTACTAATAATATAAAAACCTCAAAATTTATGGGTCAACATTGATCCAACGTGTTGTGCCTTTTGAGAAACATTCACTAACCTTTTTTAAAAGTTATCATGGTTGTTTTTAATTACCTTTGTAATTAAAATAACACTTTTAACACATATTTTATTTCTAATTATATCTCCCTTCAAAATCAATAAAAAAAGCTCAGATCATTACATATATTTATTGTCTACTTAACTACAGCGTTGCAAAAATTACAATAAAATAAGTATACGAAACTAAATCAGACGACAATTATATCGTCACAATCAAAAAATTGTCACCAAAAACATAAAAAAATAAAAAATAAAGAAAAACTAAAACAACAAAAAAAAATATTAGACAAAATTGAAGCAGAAGACAAAAAATTGAATGAAAATGAGATTAGTAAATAAATTTAAGTATGATGAGATAATTAAAATGAATTATGAAATAATGCATTATGAAAAATTAATAATATATGATAAAAAAGTTGAAATAATGCATAATTTTTATGTATGATGAAATAATGTATGAATTTACGCATGATGAGATAATGAAAATGAATTAAGAAATAATGTATGATGAAAAAATGAAATGATACAGGATGTTCAAGTAGGAGGAGATAATGTATTAATTCAAGTATGATAAGATAATGATGATAAGATAAGCACAAAAATTCAAATCAAAAATTTCACCCTAAATATAACAAAGTTTATATTTAGTTCGTAGTCGGGTTCTAAAGACATTATTAAACAAATAACCTTAACTTCTCTCAAGCATTCAAATGCCTGTAGTATGAAAGAAAGATATTCATGATTATCTGGTAAAAAATAATTTATAAAATCGTTCAAAATATCTAAGTTATCATAAAGATTTGAAAACTGTTCTCCCTTAAAATACCCACTAGGAAGCATTCATTTGTTTTAAAACAAAATTTAAGAATTATAACTATGTAGACCCTTATGGAAATTTTCATGGATTTCCCATGGAAATCCATAGAAATCCATGAAAATCCCATGGATGAATCATGGTTTTCCTGTAGAAATCGAAATTCCATGAGATTACAATGGGTAAAATCATGGTTTTTTTTCATAGCTCATATTGCACCATGGGTTTTAGAAATGCGCGATTAATAATGCCAACGAAACTTGTTTCAATCATTTATAACTTGACCAAATATAATTTTATGCATTCGTTGATTAATGTATAAATCTTTATACTTTTACTTTATTATTTTATTTAAATTACTACATTTTAACCAGACAGTTTTGATTGGTAATATAAATATGTTGTTCATTTATATCATTTGTAATATTGTCAGTTTTTATATGCATTTAATATTTTTAAAGATAATTCATAAGCTGTCTAATTAAAATGGGGAATTGTGTACAAATTAACCATAAAAGATATAAGCGTTATCTTTATGATGCAACTTATAATAATATTCCAAGAACAATAAAGTGGAGAAGGAAAACAACAATAATGTTTTAAAAATATTAGAAAGAAAGGTTGATAATCAAGATTTTACTTTACAGTTAAATGTAAACATATAAAAGCAATGTTTATAAACAGTACATTGTTATATATTATAATCATTTTTATTTGTATTTTTAATTTTTTTTTTATCTAAGATAAAAATAAATTTTATTATGCACACACTTTTTTATTTATTATTTTTTTACATTACTATATTTAATAAATTATGTATTTATTATATAGTAAAGTAAAAATATAATAAATTTTCGAATGTAATAGTGTATGTATAAGTCTCTTTATTTTAACTTTATCATTTCATTTACATTACTGGATTAGTAAGCAGGAAGGTTTTAATGGCAGTAGTAATAATGCTTTAGATCTTTAGATTTTTAGTTCGGACAAAGAAGTAAGCTTTTCTTAAATAACAACTAATGAGTAATAATATATTTTTTGTGTCTTATTCTATATTAATGTAACCAAAATGCACTTAACATTTATATATGTCAATAAATCTTTTCATTTTAACTTTATCGTTTTATTTAAAACACTACATTCTTAGCAGGCAGCTTTGACTGCAAATGTAAATGATGATGTACATCATGCAGAAAGCTCAGATGAATAAGTAAGTTTTTTTAATTACAATTTAAAAGCAATACTTTAACGGTTCAATGCAAGTGTTACTGACAAGCAAGTAAGATTTATATATTTAATAATTTGTGCGCAAATCTTTTATTTTAACTTTATTTTATTATTTAATTTACTACGTTATAAGCAGGAAATTCTGTCTGACAATATAAGTGATGTTTTGCACTATGCAGATAGCTCGGGTGAAGAAGAGGTAAGAATCTTATGACTATTATTTACAAATGATGATATAATCGTTGCTACTTTTTTCTATATAAATGTTACCCGCATGATGGCAACATTCATATAGAACGTTCAAAATGTTGTGTGGATGCCTAATTTTAAAGTAAGTTATAACAGATAATAATGTGTAATTAATGAGTTGCCTTTTAACATTCGAAGGAAGCATATGTTGTTAACTGGTTTATGGTTTGATGCTAAGCCTAAAATAAATACGTTTTTAAAGGTGTTTGTAGAGGAATGTTCAAAATTAGCAAGTACAGGTTTATGTGGTTTGTTAAGGCTCAGAATAAAAATATAGTAAGCAAGGTTTATTGTTTAGCATGTTCTTGTGATTCTTCTGCTAGGTGAGTTTTGCAAAATATTAAACAATTTAATGAAAAACATGGATGTTCGTGGTGTTTAAATCTAAGTATTGCAATTAGTAACAGTAATGGTGGACCTCCAAAACGTGTTTTTGATAGTCAATTATATCCAAGCACAACTTTAAATGGATTTGTTGATGATGTGAGGTATCTTGTAGAAATTGAGTAAGAAATAATGCACCAAATTGGTTAGAAACTTATCTTTGGTGCACCAAAGTATAAGTTTCTAACCAATGCTAAAAAACGAACTTTAGAGACTAGTTTGGCTAATGTAGTTTCAAAAAAAAACAAAACAAAACATTTTCCATCTTATTATATATTTGAGTATGAAGGAATACACAAAGCTATTACAATATGATTTAAGTAGGAAAAAGTAACAACATCAGCAAATGTTTGTTTAACGATTACTCAAAATTACTTTTGTGAAATCGGTAAATTACTTTCTGTGGTGTTCAACTACTTGTAACACGCATTGCTTGCTTTTTCATCTTTTGTGAGAGACAATGAAAAGTCTTGCATCAAATTTACACCTCTCTCAGAAACATCGTTAAAAATCCTAATTTTTTTAAAAAGTTCATTTCTTTAAGATAGTCTTTGTTATTCTTCCATGTTTGCACAAGAGCTTTTACTCACTTAGTGTTCAAGCCAAAAGTTTCAAACAGAAGCCAAGAGTTTTGTCCAATCAATGATCGAATTTTTGTATTTTTTGTCACTACAGGACTACATTAATAGAAATGAAATTTCTTAACAATATTCTTTATTTCATTGTTAGACAACGTTTTTTTAAAAAACGCGTTGCTTGCTTTGTTTCTCTAACAATGAAATAAAGAATATATCTCCTTGGTTAAATACCAAAACTAATTTTCAAATATTCATGAGGTACTTTCTGATATTTTCTTGTTGATGACTTTGAAGTCCTGCAACTCAATGAAAAGGTTAGTTATGTTAAATAGTGCTCTGGAGTCTTTCCAGTATGTGATATTTGCGTGCAAAATGAAATAATTTTTTTTCTAAAAGTAAGTCAAATTTTACGCATGCACCATTCTGACACTCTGAGTTTGAAGCAGTTGTGTCAAAAGACAATCTAACTATATTATCTGATAAATTCCATTACAGTAAAATTGAAAATGTAGCTGTGACTTGACTAGGCCCAGTGCTATCCACTATTTATGGAACGCCTAACAATTTACC